TGCAAGGTCTACCTATGAGTGAGAGTTGAAGAAAAATCTGGATGACATGAAGAAATTGGGGACTAAGATAGCTGATGAACTGTTGTACTACAACATTGAAAGATGGAGTAAGGTGTATTTCAACACATTCTGCAAGTCTGATAGTGTTGACAATAATATGGCATAATGTTTTCAATGCTTAGATTTTGGCAGCAAGGCAGAAGACTATAGTGACAATGCTTGAAGAAATAAGGGTGAAGATGATGAACAGAATAGGTCAGCTCAGACGGTTTGGAAACACTTGGATTACTGATTTTTCACCAATGGCCATGAAAATCTTGGAAGAGAACATAGTAAGGTCAATGAAATGTAACATTTTCTGGAATGGTGAGTATGGATTTGAAGTGAAGCAAGGATCATGTGCAAGTGAAGTGAAGCATTTGGTGGACATCAACAGGTAAACATGCACCTGCAGAGCTTGGATGTTAAACGGCATACCATGTTCTCATGCAGTTGCTGCCCTGCATTATAAAAATCTGGAGCCTATGAACTATATTTCTCACTGGTACAGTAATGCAACTTACATGAAAACATACAGTTACTTTCTTCAACCTGTCTTGGGTATGAATATGTGGCCAGAGTCACAAAACCCAAATGTTATACCACCTCATGTCAAGAAGATGCCTGGAAGGCCAAAGAAGGTTAGAAGAAAAGAGCTTGGTGAAAATAAGACAGGAAAATTGTCCAGTAGTGGAGTGGAAATGACATGTAGCAATTCTCATAACAAGGGTCATAACAAGAGGGGCTGTGCAAAGGCTGCTGGAAGTAATACTGCTGCAACTTCAGCAAGTTCTGTGCCTACAAGTGTTGGTAGTTCAAAGCCACCAAAGCAAAGTACTGGAAGAGGAAGGGGTAGGCCAAAAGGTTCTAAAGAAAAGGTGAAGTTCTTCCCTTTAATGTCTTCTTTGTCTTTTTTAAATATTACCAGATTTTTAATTTTGATTGTTTGATATAAGATGTTGGTACTAGCACTGATGTAAGAACACAATATAAGAAACCAAGGATGGTTAGGATGAGAGTTTTACACACTCAAAGTGGCTTCAAAATTCAAAATATAAGTCTAACAAAAACTCTCATATTTAAGTGATTTCATTTGTCTGATTTTCTGTTGGGTTTTGGCAGCCTGGAATGTCATCTACAAACTTTAAGGATGTGAGGTCCTCGGCAGAAGTAACTGGAGATCTAGGCCATCAACCAACACGAGGTGTTAAATGGAAAGGTAAAGAAGCTATGATATCAAGGCAGCTTCAACAATTGAGAGGCAAGAAACTCATTCAAACAAGGTCTAGGGCTGCTAAGTTGAGCCAGGAAAGCACCACTGCAAATCAACCCAGCTGATGAAGCTATGATTTTGTTTGATGACTGTATTGCAATAGACTGCATTATGCAAAAAATGTTAAGCAGCTATAGACTGCAATTCTGTATTTTGATAAGGATTTGTAGGTAGCTATAGACTGCAATTTTGTTACATTTGGTGTCTGGTTTGCTGCTGCTACAATAACAACAAATAGCTATTTTGTTAACTCATTTTGTGACTTTTATGTAACAAATGCATATATGATGTTTTAGTGATCTATGAGTTGTACAAGTTGATAGTATGTGTGTTTGCCATGAAATGAAATACTTCAGTATGCAGTATGCAGTTTATCTATGCAGTATGCAGTTTACTTTCTTCAGTATGCAGTATACAGTTACTTTCTTCAGTATGCAGTATGCAGTTTACTTCCCAATAGTTGATCTATGCAGTATACAGTTTACTTCCCAATAGTTGATCTATGCAGTATGCAGTTTACTTCCCAATGTAAAAACAACGCTTCTTTAGAAACAACAATTGATAAGCAAGAACTACAAATACATATTGAGATGAGAATACTACAAAATATTGAGATGACAAAACTACAAAAGGCTTACATTCAAATGAAAGTTCCATTGTAAACATACAAAATAAATCCTACAAGCAACAACTACATTCATATTGAGATGACAAAACTAGATTCATAATGACAACCTCATTGCATCTTCTTTCAATGAGATTCATGGATACCCACAACCAACAAGAATAATACACATCCCCAATATAATGAACCAAAGTACATTTTTCCTAGCCTTTGACTTAGCTAATTTACTCTTCCACTTCTTTTCCTTCTCTTTCATCTTCTCAATATCATCTTGCAATTTCACCAATTGAGCTTCAATCTTCTTCATCTTGTCCTCTTCTATGATGTTTTCAACGTTTAAAGTTGTCCTCAGCTTGGCAAGATTTTCAAAGCCTTCTAATGCATTCTCAAGTTCACCCATTTTGTCAAGCAATTTTGGAATAACAAATTTGGACCTAGGATCAATTTCGGAATCCTTCCAAACCCCAAAATCACAAGATCGTGGACCCTAAGATGAATAACAAAAGAAAATTAATGAATGATAATTTTTCACAACTCAATTAGTGAAAGAATTTTTACTATCATTTATCCCATAGTATGGACAAACCCAATATCTTCTTCCTGGGTTTCGACGGATCCAAGCTGTTAACAAAGGCAACACATAGCCATGGTTGCATCGAATTTCTCCTCTTGACTCATTTTCTTCCTCTTCCGTACAAAGCCTTGTCAAATTCAAGCCTTTTGAAGGCATTGCAACAACTACAACACAACAAGACAATATCAAGTCAGATAATTTGCATTTACTTTCAAAGATTGGATAATTGAATTTTAGGACAAAGGTATAACACTACTAAAAGAAAGAAATTAGGGTTCTTAAGAAGGAGAAATGTTAATCTTTGCCTTCAAAGATTAAAACTCAAAAGGGCAATTTGAGGGATTTTCGGCAGAAATTAGAAGAAGAAGAAATTAGGGTTCTTCAACTGGGTTTGGTAAAATATTGGGGAAGAGGGGATTTTACCGTTGGTTGGGGTTATATTAACGTTAAAGATTTATTTATTTCTATTTTTTTTTTGGGTATTTTCAACGATTAAAAGAGTAAGGACGCGCTCAATTCAGTTGTCAAACACGCGCGACTGGCCAGGCCTTAGGAGGGAGTAAGTAAATACGGTTCTTTAAACAATAGTGGGGTGTTAGGACACCCGTAAAGTTTAGGTGTATAAATAACTTTCCAGGACAAATTGAATGAGGTCTTTATGCATTTTCTCTTAGTTTTACAATCAAACTCCCCTATAATTTTGAACAACACATTCTTTCCCCTTCCTAACTTACGTTATATCTTTTTCGCCTATTGACATTTTCAATTCCCATAGTATATAATACCTTTTAAAAATTATATACAATATATTTACCTTAGATGTTTTTTTACTTACTATTTGGATTATTTTATGTTTTATTATGAATTGATATGAGTTCAATAAACTAAAAATAGAATAGTTCTTTTATAAATTTTGTTACAGTATCTACAGCTAATTTTTATGATTATTATTTTAATATAATGTGCGCTAAGTATATATATTGAAGTTTTATATTCTCTTACTCTCTATTGTTTATATAGATTTATTTACAAGATTTTTGAGTTTTGATAGTTATTGATGAAATATTTTCTAAATGTTAAATTTCATTGAAAGTATAAATAGATAATCACTAAAAATGTATTATTAAATCTATCTCTGTTTATTTTTTGTTTTACTTGCATTAAGTATATGTAAGGGTCTATATTTAATAGGGATAGAAAATAGGTTAATCGATAGATAATATGGATACTTATATTATTCATGACTTCTTGAATGCGATTACTTTTGGGAAAATTTTTATTCTTCCAAATTGGAGGAACCCCCAATTTGAGTCTTTGCAAATGTTACCCATGGGTTATCCGCTAAGTATCTATTTTCTAAATGGATAATATAGATTTTATCCATATTTGATCAATTTTTAAAAAGTCCATTATCTAACATATTTTTAGTGGATAATATGGATGAATAATTATCTTTTTATCCATTTCACCGCCACTAAGTGCATGTATAAAATTACACCCTCTTCTTCTTAGTTGTGCAAATAGATTTTTGAGTTTTAATTATTAATAAAATTACTAATATGAATAAATTATTTTATTATGCTCATTTCTTTCATTATTCGATGCCATTAAATTAAATATTTGGTTATTATTTTTCATCTTGAAAATGTTCAGACGACAAAATAGGTATTTAAAAGATTCAACAGAGATGAAGGGAAAAAAATGTTTATTGCTCAAAGTTGGAAGGGAATTTGATTCTTAAAGCAAAGATGGAGTGTAAATATTTTTCATCCTTCATTAAAGGATTTGTCATTTTTTCCTAATTATCCTGTGTTTTGTGTTTTATTACTAATACTTGCTACATTATTAGAATCGTATTTTCTACTATAATACTTTGAAAGAAAAATGTTTTTCTGTTAAATTAACGTTATATCACAAGAAACAATTAAGTAAAACTGATAATACAAAATGACAAAGACTTGGTCATGTATGCTTCTATCAAACTAGCAATTTTTATTTTTTTTGGTTAAAGGGCGGTATTTATATAACTACTGACCAAAAATACATCACACAGTATTGTCATTGCCGCGATGTTATGAGTTATAGAGTCAATATTACATGCTATAAAATCCCTAACAACTTCAGTTCCTAGGATGTCTGCCCAAAATACATGCTCGGTAAGTAATGCAATCTTTTCCGTCATTTACACTCCACAGCAATAGCATAGGAATTTCAATAGTAGAAATGACACTAGTTAACAGAGCTGCTATTTAGGAATTAACTAGTGTATCCAAAATTTTAATTTTTTAGTTCAATTTTTGGGGACAAAAATATTCTGAGTTATCCTTAAGTTACGAGTTTTAGTTTAAAATTTTAGGACAAAATAAGTATTGGCTAATTCCTAAATAGCATTCCTGTGAATGACTATCTGTGCACTTGACCCTTTCAAGTAGCAGGCATCTGTGACTGGTTTAATCAAGAAGAAAGCGAACAAAGAAATGACAAAAAAAGAAAAGAAAAATGAGAATTAAAATAAAAGCACCAAGAATGGGATACTTTGTTTTTTTCCCACCAAGAATGGGATGCTAGGAAGGATGACCTCCAAAAAATGGCAAGCCGCATATGATTTCAATACCTAAAGCAGTTTGCCAACTAGAACTAATTACATCATTTAGCACCTATTCTATTTGCAGCCACACCAGGAGAGAGTGAGCAAGACCCCTTTATCACTCAGTACTACCTGGTTAATATACAAATTCTATACCTGTACACGTATAGGATAGACATACAGACACATTATGGTCGCGTTAAGGATCATACATAGTACAATTTTTGTTATAATCAAGTCAGTATTCAGAGGGTAAGCACTCTCAGTTATCGAACATGTATCCTTCGTGCTTCAAGAACCAAAGTGCCCCTTCCGCTGCATCCTCAGCTGCATCTTTCTTTTTCGCCCGAGGAGCTCCACAAGACTCTATAACTCTTGATGTTTCTTCAATTTCCACCACCACCCGAAAAGTAAACCTGAAGACAATTTTGTAAAATTAAAGAGGGGACATAATGTCTGCAGTTTGGAGAACATGGGGGGTTGGGCACAATATAAGCTATTACTTTAACACCTCTCCCTCCATCCCTCCATCCATCCCTCCCTCTCACAATAAAGATAGGTGCCATAGGCTACAAAATGTCAAGGATTTTCAGTGCACAGAAATAATCAAGAAGTTGAGGATGATGTTAGTGGTTCTACCTTTTCTGGTTAGATCAGACAACAAACTTAAAGGCAGGGATTCCCAAGGACAGCATTAAACCACATAACCAGCAAGGATTTTCTTTATGTTATAGGTTCCAAGAATTAAACTTAAGAACTACAAGTGCATAATAAAAATTTAAACAATCAAATAGTGCAGAAATTAACCAGATACAAATTATGACCGCATATATCCTCCCATCTCAAGCTGAACTTTTCTTCTATATGGTGCATTGATTTCTACTTGGTAGATTTCCCGCATCTTGTTGTAGACGGAGTAATTGGTCTCCTTATATGGTCTTGGCCAATATTCACCTTTTGAGCTAGCTTTTCGGGTTGAGTTAGGCTCAAGGTCCATTATCTTAACATGGTATCAAAGCCACACTCATCCCAATTCTTGAAACCCTTATGTTGGGCCCATATTATATTTACACTCCAAATGTCCAGTTCTGAGCTTGTGTGCGTCAGTGTGTGGGTGGGGAGGGGTGTTAGAGACCTACATCAGTTGTGGATGGGACTTCTGGTCTCCTTACATGGTCTTGGACAATCCTTACCTCATGAGCTAACTATTGGGGTTGAGTTAGGCCCAAGGTCCATTTCTTATCGGTACTTGTTGGAGGAATAAGTTTCCTAGGCTTCATTCATTAATGTCAAATGTTATTTTCCAGTACAACTTGTCATTTTACGATTTTGGGCCATTTCATGAAACTCGATATTTTACAATGCTGAGTAATTACTTTGAGATGAGTAATTAGTTAATGCAGTTTGTTCACTACGGTTTAGTTTACATTTTCATGATTGCAGGAATCTGCTCAAAATTCTGGAATGAAAATAAAAGCTACTTTTTACTAGTTCACTACATACTCTTTCAAGTGGCTTGGCCCTGTCTCCTTGCAACATTCAAATCTAGGAGGTTTCCAGCAGTTGGCAGCACAAACTTCATGCAAAATTGACTTTGCCGATCCATTTATTGCACCACCTGAATTATTTTGGAGTAAGAGAATGACAACATGGATAAATAAGCAGATAGAGATCCTTGTTATTGATACCTGTAGCTTTTGAATCTGAATTAGAGCCATTAGGCATGATGGTCTGCTCAGAATTGCATTGTACAGCTGCCTCTGGGGCCAACTTTCTCGCAGGCTTTAACTTGAAATTGCAATTTCTTGCAAGTTGCTCACTAATAGGAAATGCTTTCAAGTCACGATCACTTTCAGATGCTTCGTTCTTCTCCACGTCATTGCACCTAGCAGTAAGAACACAGGGTATTTCATCATATCCTATCAGTTTAGCTTCCATCTTTTTAGCTGTTTTTACCACTTGCTCCAGTGATTTAGACTTGCGCCTATAGCCTTGAGCCTGCACATTGGAAGACATTACTGAACTGCAAAATAGCTATTTAAGAGAAGTCCGATAAGGGAGGTATTAAGATTGGAATACTAAAATGGAAATCAAACTGCAGAAACAATGATAAAATCAGATAAGAAGAGCTGACATCTATAGTAACGACGCCTGATCAGCATGCAACTGCTGAGAGAAGCAAAGAACAAAAGTAGCAGAAGTGTTGTCACTGTCTCACTGACCAGAGAGACATTTGAAGAGGAGAAGTAAAAATAGAAGGCAAAAGGAACACCGAAGCATACTTGATAATATGTAAACCAGTCAATAAATTATTTGCCAAAACAAGGTAATTTATCAACTAAAGCGAGAAACTTGTGAAGTTCTGCGAGGAATGTTATAGGTTTTAGTGATAAATCATTATCTTTCCGTATGCATAGCATAGTGATGCATTTCTCTACTCTGAATGCTCATAAGGCAATGTAAACTGATCCATGAAACTTGTCCCCATTTCCCATTACGACCTTGAACATTGTGAGGGTCCTAGTACCCCCCTAAAAAACTTTCAAGGGGAATTAATGCCCCCTTTCTCAGTCACCTGGCATAGAGAGTGTTCATCATTCTCTCTTTAAGAGCGTGAGGGACCACAAAAAAGTTTTATAATTTATTTTTGCAAGATATATTTTGTTAAATGCATGGAGAAGGTACATAGTTGCTCCTGAACTATGCGAAATGGTTTACTTTTGTAAAAAGTTGGGGTTGAAACTACCCCTGTTGTTACCAAAATGGTCTACACTTGCCCTTTTCTACTAATGGAAAATGATTAGCACCACAAATCGCCACGTGTTGAAGCTTAAAATTAAACCGCAATAATTGATTTGAATTAAAGGACATGAATGATGCATTTCACATAGTTTAGGGGTACAATGATAATAAGTTTTTTAAATGAAATTGACACGTGGAAGCAAGAATTGCATGTTAAGCACTTCCTTTCCTTAAAACAGGGGTTGGCCAACAAAGGGGGTACTAATACCACTTAGAAGTTGCTCAGGGAGTACTATGACCCCTGCAAAGTTTAAGGCCGCAAGGGGAAATTTGGGACAAGTTTGAGGGGGTCCTTATGTATTATCCAAAATTATATATATCAGCTTATAAAGGGCAGCCCGGTGCACTAAGCTCCCGCTATGGGTAGGGTCCGGGGAAGGGCTGGACCACAAGGGTCAATAGTACAATATATATACCAGCTTATGCCTTGTTTTATTTGG